GCGGGGTGCAAAAACCTGGGACGATGGGGAATGGATGTGAATCAAGCCCAAATCGGAGGGTGACGTTGTGGTACGCCGCGGCACCGCGTTTGCCGGGAACGTTGTCGCACTTGACCGCACCTGTCATCTTTCGACTGTTGCATGCAAGCCAAGTGACTTCTCGATTCGATGGCGCCCCCTCCGAACCAGCAACTTGGGTGTCAAACGCGTTCAGCTGGGACCTGGGCAATGCTGCACACACATCGAAAATTTACAGGGCTCTGCTTCTCTCAGAATGGAGAGGGCGTGTTCCATATTCCCTAATTGCAACTTGGCGTCCAGGTGTGCATGGTGCGTTTGACCGTACTGGTAACCAATATAACAACATGAATATAGAGAGTCGCACTCCTAAGCAGGTTGCAGTATTCTCAGATCCAGGGGTGCACCTCTTGGGGGGGCGTGTCCGAAGTGCCCCTCGACATCCATCCGTCATCCATCCGTCATCGGATGGTTGTCAGTGGTGGATGACGGGGGATGACGGATGGATGACGGTTGGATGTCGAGTCACTTCGGACACACTGCCGGCGACATAACTGCCCAAAAAAATGCCGGCCGGCACTGTTGGCGCCGGCAGGGGCAGACCAGAGAAAATGTTAAATGTTCAAATTGGAATCTAACGAATTTCGCTAATATGTTTCGTCACCCCGTGCAAGTCACAAAGGACGGTCGTTTGCCAAGAGATACTTTCGCATTGTTTCCCCCTCAAATTTTTGTTATCAAACTTTGGGTTCGTTGACTGCCTCGTTGACCAGCCCGATGTCACTTGTTGGCGGCACCCTTGACTGTAATGATTACACAGGGCTGGATGACGGATGAATGTCGCTCGGATGTCGAATCACTTCGGACACAACGCCGGCCTGAAAATTCTCACCTACCGACCCCGACATCCGTCGACATCCGTCGACATCCATCGACATGTCACTTCGGACACGCCCTAATGTAAGCTCTGACTGGCGGTCGCGTGTTTCCCACAAAGGACCTGTGAAATGACGCTCTCTCGTCTCTGCTAAATAGCTGGCAGCAGATGTTCCAGCTGGCTCGACCTTCTATTTTGTACAGTATGTGGTACACTGACAGGTACACTCGACCTTCTATTTTGTACTAGCCGAGACTTGAAAAGGGCAGCGGCGGTCAGCCACCGGAAATTGAAATATCCAAGCGCCCCATGGAAGCAACCCACCGCTGGCATGGCATGGTATGTCCTGCTTTCAAACTGCTGCTCCAGACCCCTGATGCATTTGGTTCGTGGCCCACCTGCCGTCAAATAATGGTGAAACTCACCGACACTCTTGCCATCCGAATCTGTCAGAGAAGCACGCGTGAACGAACTTGTAGCTGGCTCTTCATGCAGTGTATCGTTGAAGATGTAGGTTGGAAAAAATCGTATTATCTCGGGCAGATAAAGGTCCTAGGTTCCATCCACCTAACGTTGTTTTTGGAATGCAAATGTTTTTTTTTGACATATACATTTATGAGGACAATGCATACATCAAAAGCAGTCGTAACTGAGCGTGAGGGCACTGCACCATGCACTGCCCAGTAATGCATCTAGGGCGGCAGGAACGCCCGCTTTGGCTTGTTCCAGATAGCAGCGAAGTTTGTCGACCACTTCCATTTTTTGTCACCTGTCTCCCTTATCCTCGCCAGCATTTTTTGCTCCGCTTCGAAAACACTCCTGACCCGTTTTCCCTTCCCTGATGTCCCTGGCCGCAAGCTTTTGGCACCCATTGCTCTCGTGTACACTCTCGCGTGTAGCCTAAAAGCCGACCCAAACCTCCTGAGAACCCTCCGGGCTCTGAATTTCTGCCCTCGGAAAGTTGCTTCACATCTCTCCACCCACAGCTGATGAAAAGTAATCGATGTGAGGGTAGCCTCCGGGAAATCCGACGCCGTTCCGGTTTCCTGGAACAAGAGGTCCCCCAGCGAGGCAGTTGTCCTCCCTGGATTGAGCATGCGCAGAGCACGACGGAGCCCTGAGACAACTGGCTGAATTCTCGGGCAGGAGAAAAGACAGTGTTCGTGCGTTTCCTCCACTCCGCAGTATGGGCATTTTGGCTTGCAGCTGAGAAAATCAACTCGCTCCCCGACCTGAAGGTTCAGGTTATGCACCCGTGTGAGGACATCTCTCGGTCGGCTCGGGATGGCTGGAATGCAAATGTTAATTGAGGACACACTTTGTTTGTCAATATACGAAGACCAGAAATGGTTTGTAAAGGATTCTGAAGCCCAAAGATAAAATTGGCGCAACAGCATGGCCTTCTTAGTCTGGATTCTATTCGAAGACAGGGGCGGTGTTGTCCGTAGATCTCAGGCGTTGATGGAAACTCACGAGGGTTGAGCAGTCAAACTCTTGTCTTTTCCTACCTCATCTTCCTGCCTGCGCTTGCTCCCCCGCGCCTTCCTACCTCATCCTTCCTGGACACCTGTCCTCGCCCAGCATCCCTCAACTCCAACTTCCGCCATCCATCTTCCGCCAAGCAATCACAGCTGCCACTGTCCAATTTCTAGGTTTATTGAAAAACCCATTTTTTTGCCGCTCAAACTTCAAGTCCAACCAGTATCATTGTTGCGCTTGGAAATAAGAGACAGAGGACAGCACACCAACACATCACAGCTGTGCAACCCCAATCTTATTCATGCACCCTCCGCTCCTCGCTTCGGAGTAGTGATTGGTTTTGAAGTTCACGCACAAGCACCCGCCAAATCGTCTTTCGGTGGCATCTCCAGTCATCGGGCAACGGCGTTTCAAAGTCTCAGAAGCGCCACTCAGCCTTTCATTTTTGTGTTTCTTCGTCTCGGATCCATGCTTGTGCTTCGACCTGCTACTTGTTGTGACGGCTTCAATCTCAACTAGCTCAGCTGGACATCCGCTCTCAAGTACGTTTGACAGGTCGAAATGTTCAGACAAGTTGGCTGATCGATTTTATCAATAAAGAAGAGAAAATGATCGATCAGTTATCATCAGAGAGACGAAATCAAGCTGTCTCACCGTTTGCATTAAAATGCGCTACTACGTTAAATAAACTGGCGTCCCTTGCTCCATCTTCCCGCCTTTTTTGCGACCAAACAAATCTCCGACGGACATAAACACAACAAGAAGAAGTTCATTGGATCGGGACCCAGTCTCCTGCTTCTGGCCCTCCTCTTTTCCCATCGTTTGGAACGCGGATCTATTCAGCGAGTCATATCTCAGCAGCCCCTCTATTTTTCCCCATCGTCTTCCCATGATACCCTCACCTCGTTGCCTTTCCCTGTCATTTTAAGTTTTGTTTTTCTCCTTTGTCTGTGTATAAAATACACAAATATCTCATTTTCTTTGCACAAAATCCCTTATCTCCCCACACATGTTACCATGATTTGGTCTGCCCTTTCTGCTATCCGCCCTTCCTCCCCCCGGGCCCCACATTGTGGCGTCCTTTAGTTCTTGCATGTGTGGGTATAGTCCCAACTCCCCTACCATTCCTCCATCGCTGCTCCTCCCCACCCTCCCTCCCACCCCCTCTTTCTCTCCTAGTAGGCAATGTTCCCTCCCACATGTGCCTCTTGATGAAACTCTCCCCACCTTGTCTCTCTGTGACCTCCACCACTACATACGTTGATAGAAGCCCCAATTCTCCACTATCCAGTCCTGCCTCTACATCATGCATTTTTTCGTGCCATTTGCCTCTCCTTGACCCCCAGCAAAGTTACAGAAGCTTCAGGCCTCCACTCTTGTTGCTACCTCTCATGCCATTTTCATGCCGTTCTCCCCACATTGCCTCTCCTTGACCCCCACTACTGCCTGCTTGGGCAGAAGCCCCGAGCCTCCCCTAACCACTCCTGCCTCTTCCTGTCATGCGTTCTTCATTCACCCCCCTCACATCACCTCGCTGTGACCTCTACCTGTGTTGACAGAAGCCCCGAGCCTCCCCTAACCACTCCTGCCTCTTCCTCTCATGCGTTCTTCATTCACCCCCTTCACATCACCTAGCTGTGTCCTCCTCTACCCGTGTTGACAGAAACCCCGAGCCTCCCCTAACCTTTCCCTCCTTCCTCCACCTGTTGTGCTTTCTCAATGTCGTCCCCCTCGCATGATGGCCTTGCCGTGACCTCCAGTTCCTGTGTTGACCGAGACCCAGTCCTCCTCTGATCACTCATGTCTCCCTCCACCTGTCATGCTTCTTAAATTTACCCTCTCACGTGATCAACCCCCTCACATGGCCTTTCTGTGACCTCCAATGCCTGTATTGACAGTGACCCAGACCTCCTCTAATCACTCCTGGGCTCCATTATCCATAAATTTCTGAGCATCCTCTCTTGATGCTATTCCCATCGCACTGTCTCTCCACGTCCCTAACCGCTACCTTTGTTAACTGAAGCCCCATGCCTCAGCCAAACACTCCTGGCTCCACCCACAATTTCCTGGCCATGCCTTCTGATGAAATTCTTCCCGCATGTCGCTTCATCCCCCACCACGATCTGTGTAGACTGAAGCTTCAACCAAGCACTCCTGTCTCCGCATGCAAATTCGTTAACATACTTTCTTGATGCTAATCCCCTCGCATTCTCTCCTCCTCCTCCTCCTCCTCCTCCTCCTCCTCCTCCTCCTCCTCCTCCTCCTCCTCCTCCTCCTCCTCCTCCTCCTCCTCCTCCTCCTCCACCACCACTGTAATTGCCCAGACCTCCACGTATGATGCTGCCTCTCCTCTTCCCCAGCAAATACCTGCGATGGAAGAAATCCCAGACCTGCTCTGATCATTCTTCTTTACTATGCAATCCCCTCACGTTGTTGCTTCAGTCTTCAACCACTAACTGCCTCGGCAAAAGCCACCGCCCAGCATCAACCCCTCTCGTGCGCCCACCACCTCTTCCCACTCCGTTTCAAGTATTTCATGCTCGAATATCCCCCCACATTTTCTCTCTTTCCCATTCATTCTTACTTTTCGCAGAGGTTCTAGATCCCTCCACATCTCCTTGGCGCAATGGCGGACAATGAAGGCCCATGGAACAACCAATGGCACTTGCTGCAGCAGAGCCAGCAGCAGGCGGAGGAGCAGCATTGGAAGGGAACGGAAGAGCAGCACTGGAGGGGAGCGGAGGAGCAGCAATGGCGGCAGGAGGTGCAGCCACAGTTGTTTGGTCACCTTCTGGGTCATCAGCAGTTGGATGGGGATGCTGGGCTGAGGGGCGGTGCAGACATGGTCGAGCAAACGCAGCAGCAGCACCAACAGCAGCAGCAGCAGCAGCAGCAGCAGCAGCAGCAGCAGCAGCAGCAGCAGCAGCAGCAGCAGCAGCAGCAGCAGCAGCAGCAGCAGCAGCAGCAGCAGCAGCAGCAGCAGCAGCAGCACCAGCACCAGGAGCAGCAGCAGCAGCAATGGTTCTCAAGAAACCCAAGCATGGAGGAGCAAGCAGGAAGCGTTGCTGCAGGCCTGCTAGCATCCGCACCCATTCTGGACCACTCACTAGATCAATCCCCTTCCAAAGCCCTGAACTTGCTCTCTCAGAATCACAACCACATGGCTGCAGGCGCTGCAGGCGCCTCTGGGTGGGGCACGTCTCTTGCAGGGGGAATAGAAAGAGGCTCGGGATCCTTGGCACCAGCAGCACTAGCGGCACCCGCAGCAGCACGTGCAGCGGCAGCAGCATCAGTGTCAAGACCAGCGCTCCCGGCGTTACCTGCAGCGTCAGCGGTGGCAGCAGCATCGGCATCAGCAGCAGGTGGTGCTGGTGCTGGTGCATCACGAGCATTGGTCGTTCGAGAAGACAACAGCAACGCCTTGTCTGTTCATCCCCAAACCCTCCTCCCCACAGCAGGCAGCAGCCCTGTCCAACCCCCCAACCACCTCAAATCAAACTCCGATTCAAAATCCCTCTCCGGAGGCTCGGGAACGGCCCAGCCTGCCGAGCCTGACTCGGGGAACGCGGCGACCAGCGCCAAGCCTGCGTCCAACAGCTGCGGCGGGGACCCGAAGCTGTTCCGGGGGGTGCGGCAGCGGCACGAGGGTCGGTGGGTGGCCGAGATCCGATACCCTAAGAAACGCTCCCGCGTATGGCTAGGCACTTTTAACACCCCGGAAGAAGCAGCTAGAGCGTACGACCGAGCTGCTGTGAAGCTACGCGGGCCTAAGGCGAGGACTAACTTCCCCCACCCTGCCCTGGCGGAATGGCAGCCTCTGCCAGGGTATGTAGGGGTGGAGAAGGCGATTAGTGTGGCGAGGGAGAGGGGTGGAGGGGATGTGGGTGCGTCAGGGGTGGCTGGGTGGGTTCAGGGGTCAGGGTTTAACGCTGCTGGAAGCTCTGTAGGCGGCCAGGGGAGGCAGGTTCAGGTGGTGGTGTCTGGGAGTGGTGGTGGGGAAGGGGGGTTGGTGGGGGGAGTTGCGGCAGGGGGGATTGTTGGGGGGCAAACAGGGTTAGGCGGTGGGGGGGGTGTGGGGGTTGGTGGATCGTTCGGTGGGCTGTTGGAAGGGCAAGGAGGAGGAGGAGGAGGAGGTGGTGGTGGTGGTGTTGATGCTAGTGGCATGATCGGTGGTGGCATTGGTGGTGGTGTTGGTGGGGGGATGAGAGGGCCTGTGGGTGGTTTGGATGGCACCACTCTGCAGCAGCTGCAGTCTTTGGGGATTCCGCCTGCTGTCGTAGGTGCTTTGCAGCAGCAACACCAGTTGCAGCAGCAGCAGAAGCAGCAGCAGCAGCAGCAGCAGCAGCAGCAGCAGCAGCAGCAGCAGCAGCAGCAGCAGCAGCAGTTACAGCAGCAGCAGCAGCAGCAGCAGCAGCAGCAGCAGCAGCAGCAGCAGCAGCAGCAGCAGCAGCAGCAGCAGCAGCAGCAGCAGCAGCAGCAGCAGCAGCAACAGCAATTTGGGTCATCCTTAGTGCAGCGCCAACAACAGCCCCAACAGCAGCAGCAGCTGCAGCTGCAGCAGATAATGGGTGCTCTGGCAAACCAAGGAGCAGCAGCCGCAGCATCAGCAGGAGGAGGAGGAGCAGGAGAAAGTGCAGCGGGGCAGTTGGAAGCATCGTCATCTGGTGCAACAGCGGCAGGTCCCGCCATACAGAGGGCTCTTTTGGAACTTCTGGTGGCAAACACGGGCGGGGCTGGCGGGGCAGGTGGGGCGGGCAGTGGAGTGTCAGAGCGGATACTCCTGCTGTCGCTGCAGCGGCAGCTGGAAGCCCAGCAGCGCCAACAGTTGCTGCAGGCTCTGGCGCAGGCGCAGGGGGGGCAGGGAGGGGGCTTGGGGCAGGGGCAGGGGGAGAGCTTGGGGCAGGGGCAGGGGGGGACGGTGGCGCAAGGGCATGGGGGCGGAATGGGGCAAGGGCAAGGGGGAGGAATGGGGCAAGGAGGCATACGGCAGAGGGAGTTGGGGCAGCAGCAGATGTTCGGGCAGCAAGGATTTGGACAGGAAATATCTGGGCATGGTAATGTGCAGCTGCAGGGTTTGGGGCAGGCAAATTCTCTCTTACAGGGGCTTGTGCAGGGGCAGGGGCAGGTGCAAGGGCAAGGGCAGGGGCAAAGAGGAGAACAGTTGGAGAATCAAGGAAAGCGAGCCAGAAGGGAGAATTCGAATGGATCTGAAGAGTCATCGACCGGGGTGAGTGGTGCTGGGAGTGCTGCTAAGGGCGCTGTTGCTGCCGGCACTGGCAGTGTTAGTGGTGGTGGTGCTGCTGGTGGTACCGGTGGTGGTGGCGGTGCGGTTAGTGTGGGGAATATAGCAGGCGCAGCAACAGGAATATCCCCCCAGGGGCGGATATCCAATCCAGGGTGGTCTGGGGGAGGTGGCAACTGGCAAGGGGGAGGTGGAAACCCAGCCCTGCTGCAGCAGCTTTCCAGCCAGACGTTTGCTCCTACTGCTGGCTCTTTGGGATCGTTGCAGCATCAGCAACATCAGCAGCACCAGCAGCAGCAGCAGCACCAGCAGCAGCAGCAGCATCAGCAATCCACCAGGCAACAGGTGCAGGGCCAGCAGCAGGTGCAAAGTCAGCAGCATGGGCAGAGACATATGGCAACATCCCAGCATCAGCACTTGACTGAATCGCACCTCCTGCAGGCAAGTCAGCAGTTGCAGCTGCAGCAGAACTCGTTTCTGAACTCGCAGCAACAGCAACAGCAACAGCAACACCAGCAACAGCCGCAGCAGCAACAGCCGCTGCCGCAGCAGCAGCAGCCCCGGCAGCAACCGCAGCAGCAGCAGCAGCATTTGCAGCAGTTGCAGCTAGCGCAGTTGCTGCAGCTGCAGCAGCAACTGCCACAAAGTGAGCAGAACCAACAGCAGCAGCAGCAACTGCTAGCAGCCTTCCTGCAGCAGCACGGAAGCAGCACGTTTGGTGGCACCAGCAGCAATGCTGGCGGTGGTGGTGGTGGTGGTGATGGTGCTGGCGCTGCTGGCAACGGGGGGGCTATCATGGATCAACTCTTTCTGCAGCAGGCAAGACCAAAATAACTTCTGAGGCGCCTCAAAAGCAGCACGGGGGCTGCAGCAGCATAGGTCGCGGTGCTGCTGCTGCTGCTGCTGCTGCTGCTGCTGCTGCTGCTGCTGCTGCTGCTGCTGCTGCAGAAAGCGAGAAAAAAACAAGCGCCTGGTCATTCACCCACCCTCATCACTAGTGCCCACTGTACGGCCCTCCTCCGCTCCCTTCCTTAACTCCCTAACTGATCACATAACGGGCAGCTCACACCCGCATAGCTTGATCTCGCTGCGCTAAGAATCTCCACTATTCACCACAATCTCAACGCTGGCGATTCCGCTCAGGCATTACCACCTCTGGGACTATCGCACCCCCCTTCTCTGCCATGTTGACTAGAAAGCTGCTGAGCCGTACCCTAGCGCCCCCTCTAGTTGCTGAGCCATACCCTAGCGCCCTCTGGCTGGAACTATCACAGCCCCCTCTCACTACCACTTTGAAAGCTGCTGAGCCGTCCCTAGCGCCCTCTGGCTGGATACATCACTGCTTCGTCTCACTTCAGCATGCTCACCAGACTGCTGTTAAATCTGCTCCAGAGCATGCCACGGCCCCAGCTTACCAGAGCAGAGCATGGCACGGCCGCTGCGAAACAGGTGTGAAGAGCTTTTCTCGGAGGTGCCTCAGATTTCGTCCTTGAGAAACAGGTGTGAAGAGCATGGAAATAGGGCGTACCTGTGCTGATCTATGCAAAGCTGTGGATGAATGTAAAGGGGATGGAAAATGGGATGAATGTAAAGCAGCCGTTCAATGCAAAAGGGGTGTACGAGCAATTCACAGCAGACGATCAATAGGAAAAGGAAGACGGGTGGTCTTGGACTTTCAAAAGCCACCTGCGGAAGTGAGAGTGGGATGCGGTTGAGATGGGAGTGAGATGGGGTGGGGGGGATGGCATGGGATGGGATGGGATGAGATGGGATGAGACGGAAGGGGTTTAGAATGGAATGAGATGGACAGGATGGGACGGAGGGGGTGGGGAAAGTAGGCCTGAAAGGAGTTGCAAGGAGTTCAAAGAGGTTGAAAGGAGAATTCGTCGTCGGGAGGCGCAGCTGCGAGCTGACAGCTGCACCTGCTGTGTCTTTTGAGCCGCACCTCTTGAGAGGAGGGAGACTGTTGGGGAATCTGTCAACTGCGAGTCTCTGAACCCTCAACTGTGTGAGCTCGAAAAAGGGCTGCAGCAGACTAACACACTGACTCTGCCAACCATTCTAACAGGCCAGCATTCACAGGATGACTTGACGGGGTGGCTTCACAAGGGAGCAGGTTTTGAGGCGGCTCAAAAGTCACAGCAGGCACAGGAAAGACTGTTGCAAGAGTGGTGTTTGAGGCGCCTCAAGTGTCACGGAAAGAGGTTGTTGTGGAAGCAGGTTCAGGGAACGGGATGACTGACAATCACTGGCAAGGGTTCAGATAGGAGCTGTGCAGGCTACCAGGATGGAAGGAGTGGGACGAGCAGGCTGAGTGGAATCACTTTTGTGAACTCTCAAAAGTGTTGCGAGCAGGGTGCTGCAGCAGCAGTCGTGTGACTAGCAGTCTGGGCGATTTTTGAGTGGACTGGAAAAAAAGGGGCTCGTTGTGTTTGAGGGGCACGGGCCCAGGTAGGAGTAAAGATAGTGGGTGAGTGGTAGTGCGCGGTAGTGCGCGTCACAGAGTGGCAGTGGAGCAATAAGGCGCGGATCGAGCACAGTGAATGTAGAGACGTGGAGACCACAGGCAGAGGCAGCATTGGCAAGAGGCGAGCGGGGGGCAGGAGGAGAGCAGGGGGCAGGATCAGAGCAGGGGCAGCCGAGGCAGGAGGCAAGCTGACAGCGCAGCAGGGGCAGCAGGAGGCACGGGTTACGAAGAGTGGGCGTATGCTTGCCCCAGCTGGTTTGGATAGGTTAGTAAAGGAGGGAGGTGGAGGAGGGTTGTGAAGGAGGGTGATGGAGGGAGGCGGAGGAGGGTGGAGGTGCAGGTTGTAGGGTGGTGGAGTGGTGGACAGTAGGAGGAGCTCTGGTGGACAGTAGGAGGAGCCCAGCTAACAGGTCACTCAGGAGCTTCTTTTGAGGCGCCTCAAAGTGAGGTTATTCAGGGGCTTCATTAGGAGTGTGACCACGGTAGGACTTGTGGCAGTGCTTTGCTGTTGCTGAGGGATGTGGGGGAGAGCTGGAACACTAATTGATAGGCATTCATGCATTCTTTTAATGCAATTCAGGTGCATCCGCAACCCAATCTCTCTCACTCTCCCACCATACCAACCAACCCATTCTCCCGCGTTCTCTCTCACTCTTCTGCTGTACCAACCAACCTGTATCCCTGTATCTCTCTTGGTCTCCCTCTGTCTCCCTCAGTCCCAATCATTCTCCTCCATGCCCTGTTGTATCATTCGACCCATGGCGTCCCAGAAATACAGTGCACCATTCCCCCTCGTATTCCCTCACTCTTCCATCAACCCAACTCACCCATGGCCGACCAGACACTGAGTACCCCATTCTCCCTCACTCACTCCCCCTCGTTTTCCCTCATTTTCTCTCAGTCTCTCACGTTCTCCCTCATTCTCCCCAGTCTCCCTATTTCTCCCTCCATATCAACCCAACCCATTGCATCTCAATTTGGCGGTGGTCCATTTTCCCACCAAAATTGATTCGCATTCGCCTGTCTCTCACCAAATGCATGGTAAACCATTCCCCCTCATTCCCGCAATCTTCTGACGTGTCAATAAACCCACAAATTGCTGCCCAACATTACAATACCCCATTCTCCCTGGCACTTACCAAATCAACTTACCAATCAGCCTACCAGCACCTCGCCATATGTCTATATGGTATACCAGTAACAAGCTTCAAAAAGCTTCTGTGGCTCTCAGGCCGAGAGTCTCAGCTCTTCCCAGCACACAGCCAGATGCATTTGGAGCAGTTTGTTGTGCATGAACGGGACAAAACTGTCAAACATATATCTATGTTTATAGTTTGGGTAGGCTTAGTGGGGTACTCACTGTGGGGTACAACCCCTTAGGTTTCTCCTTTGTACCAATCCTCTCGATAGTCAAACTTCATCCTTGCCTAAGACTCTAACATGGCATCTAGAGCATAGGTCCTTAGGACCTAGGATTAGGGCCCACCGTTTACTTTTTACCTACCTCACGTGCCTACCTACCTTGCCTACTGCCCGCGCACGCCTCGGCTGCACGCGCGCGGCCCTTTTTTTCCCGCGCGCGCCTCTTAAGCAGCCCGCGCGCAGCCCGTTTAGGCCCGTTTAGGCCTGTTTTCGGCCCCGCGCGCCACGTCAGCCGCCCGCGCAGCCTGCCGCCAGCCCGCGCGTCGCGTGAGCCGCCCGCGCGCAGCCCGCTTAGGCCCTGCGCGCCGCGTCCGCCGCCCGCGTAGCCCGTTTTTCGGCCCCGTTTTAGCCTGCCGCCGGCCCCGCGCGTCGCCTCCTCCGGTGACGGCGCGCTGCCCCCCGTCGCCCGTCACGGCGCCTGTGGGACCCGCGCGCTGCCCTGCACCAGCTGCAGCCGCCCCTGGTGCAGCCGCCCCTGGACCCAGAGCAGCCGCCCCTGGCCCCTGAAGCAGCCGCCCCTGGTGCAGCCGCCCCTGGACTCCGTGCAGCCGCCCCTGGACCCAGAGCAGCCGCCCCTGGACCCTCGAGCGCCGCCCCTGGACCCAGAGCAGCCGCCCCTGGCCCCTGCAGCAGCCGCCCCTGGAGCAGCCGCCCCTGGACCCCGAGCAGCCGCCCCTGGCCCCTGAACCAGCCGCCCCTGGTGCAGCCGCCCCTGGACCCTCGAGCAGCCGCCCCTGAACCCAGAGCAGCCGCCCCTGGCCCCTGCAGCAGCCGCCCCTGGTGCAGCCGCCCCTGGACTCCGTGCAGCCGCCCCTGGACCCGCGACGCCGCCCCTGGACCCCGTGCAGCCGCCCGCCGAGCGCCGGCCCTGCTCGCCCGGCGAGCGCCTTCTCTTCCCGCCACTGGTCAGCACCTGCCTTGTTTGAACGCTACCGCGCCATCTGCCTGCCTGCCTGCCTGCCTGCCTGCCGGCCTGCCTGCCTGCCTGCCTGCCACGCCTGCCCTGCACGTGCTGCTGCTGCTAATACTGCTGTTACTGCTGCTACTACTGCTGTTACTGCTGCTACTGCTGCTACTACTGCTACTGCTGCTACTGACGG